GGCTCAATAAACCTCAAGTCAATACTTTGGTTTAAAGTGGTCCCAGATGGCTTTTCACTGTAGCTGTTATGGAGGCCTGCCATCCTTTCTGGAATCTAAAGTCCCTGACGGCTGGGACCCCTTTCTCAGGGCTCACCACTGGGAGGGAGCAAATCCAAAAGAATTGGGTGGCAGGCCCACAGCAGAGTATCAAAGTCAGGGGCAGCATCTCACCAAGGCTGCAAATTAGTGAAGGGGCAACAGCTGAGTATTGGAGTGTGGCGCATTGGTCTGCCATGAGGTTTTGAGTGCTGAAAAAGGAAGATCAGCAGTGCAATTTTAAAGTTGCTGGTGGTGGCAGTGGCAGCAGCACCTCACCCTGAGAAGAGGCTAATTTCCCAGAGGATGGTCAGCCATGCTGCCACCGGGGCAGAATTTGAAGTCCCAAGGACCAGTAGCCACCATCAATTTGGACTCTGAAAACCTAGGCTTCAACTTTTGGTATAGAAACATGCTTGCTTACCTTGTGCTGAGTATCAAGAGGCAATTCTTACCAACATAGAGCCAAGAAAGGGATTTGGCAATCTTTATCTAGGACAGGCACTTTTGATGTCATTAAATTCATGAGTTTTCTAGTATCTTCCCTTGCTCAAAAGGTGCTCCTGAATGTACATTTTAATATTGTATAAATTTGCTACATTGGGCAAGGGTCTGAACTCTTTAAGCTGGAAACATATTTCCTCCTGAAATTAATATTTCCATGCAATTACCATAAACCAACATTGTAATAAAAGTAAATAAATAAAAATTTAATAAATAAATAAATAAATAAATAAATAAATAAATAAATAAAATGTTCCCAGATTGATAGTGCCCTAGAGCAGAGGTAGGCAAACTATTTTGGGTGAAAGGCCAGTGTAAAAATTTTAGACTTTGTGGGCTATTCAGTCACTGTTATAACTACTCAGCTCCGCTGTTATGCTGCAAAAGCAAACACAGACCATGTATAAACAAATGAATGTGGCTGTCTCCCAACACAATTTTATTTACAAAAAAACAGGCAGAGGGCAGGTTTTAGCATGTGGGCTATAGTTTGCTAATTCCTGCTCTAAAAGCCTGAGTAAAGATAAAATTCCTTGGATGACAGATCATCATAAAAATTCTCATGAAGAAATAAGACTCCATCAATGAGAAGCCACAGGAAAAAAAAAAATGAACTCAGACCCCCTCAAAAGATGTATGATTTTGGAATTGTTGCAAAAAATACAAAATCAATAAGCATAAGATACTTCAAAACTTATTTAAGAGTAAGCACATTTTTAAATGAATCAAATACAACTCATATAAATGAGAAATATAAAAATTGAAATTAAAAACTCAATGAAGGGACATAACAGCACATTAGATAGAACTAAAGAGAGAATTAGTGAAATGGTAAAACTGAAGATTGTGTAGAAAAAAGTCTAGAGAAGCAAAGAAATGGAAAAGATAAAAATAAAAGAGATTATAAGACATGTAGAATAGATGGGAAAGTCTAATATTTGTTTAATCAGACTTCTAAAAAGATAGGAAAGAGAAAATGGAACAAAGATATTATCTAAAGAAATACCTGAGAACTTTCAAGAATTGATTAAAAAAAAACAAAAACAATCCACAGAAGAGAAGCAAACAAGTCACAAGTAAGATAAATAACAAGAAATCCACACCTAGATACATCATAGTAAAATGGTAAAATAACAAAAACAATGATCTTAAATACACTTGAAAAATATTACCTTCAAAGAAGTAATAATTAGGCTGGTAGCTGACTTCTCAATACCATATGTGGAATGACCTTTAATGTGCTTAGAGAAAAATAACTATTGATCTGAACATAAAATTCTACATCCAGCAAAAACTTTCAATAGTCAGTACAAAATAAATATACTTTCAGAGAAATAAAAATAGAATTTGCCACCAGCAGACTTTCAATATGGAAAGTGATCCCAGATAGAAGGATTGAGAAAAAAGAGGTGAGAAATAACAAAGAAAATGGTAAAAGTGTGGGTAAACATTGACTGTATAAATAATGATGACAATGATGACTATGACAATTTGTGGGATTATGCAAGTGATTAAAATGCATACTATCATATAAACTAGCAGGGGAATGAATGACTGGGATTCAAGTTCTAGGGTCCTTGTGTTATTCAGAAGAAGAGTAAGGATAGTGATCAATTTTAGGCTTTGATAAGTATGCAAGTTGAAATCTATAAGGTAACTGCAGAACAAATAAAAATAAGACCATTAACCTCCAATTTAAGCAGAGAAAATGGATAGACTAATAAATCCAACAGAGAGTAGGAAGAGATAAGTTTAAAAAAATGGAAGAAAAAGCATAAAATAAGCTAAAAATTAATCCAAATATGTTAATACACTAAATAAAAATGTTCTCATACACTGCTGATGGGTTGTGTAAAAATGGTACAACCTTTTTAGTAAGAGTTTGGCTGTTTCTGCACTAAAGCTGAAAATGCTCACACCCTACCCTGGTGCAATCCTAATTCCTCCTAAACATACCAACTAGAGAAAATCTTGAGCCTGTATACCAAAAGACCTATACAAGCGTGTTTACAGTAAAGCTAAAAAAAAAAAAAAAAGCAATTAAAATTGAACACGGCACCTTGAGCTAAGTGGCAGGGAGCTGCCCACAGGTGGCCAGATGGTGACTGGACTTGGAGATAAGCTAGCTGTGACCTCCACAGCTAGAATTGAAGGACTACAACTTGGCTGTTCCCCTTCCCCAATTCCCCAATAAAATCCTTAAAAAATTAAAAAATTAAAAATAACCCTCTGTCCATTGACTGTAAATGGAATACCAATTTGTGATTTTTCACACCTTCCAGGATACAATCATGTTCTACTTATTGGCCTGGGTAACAAGTATACAGGCATCTGTTTTCATCATTGCCCTGAAAGTGCACCTACACACTTTCACATACACTTGTATGTATGTTATAATTTCACAATAAACAAAAAGAATTGAGAATCAGAGACATAAACTGTCAAAGGCTTCAAAGCCAGTGAGTGCTAGAGCCAGTTAGAAAATGTCTTTAGGACTTCTATCTCACCATCTTAATCATTTTTCCAAAATACAACATCAAATACTACTAGCATCAATCCACTAGAAGACAATATTAAAAAACAAGAGCAAGCAGAGGTTTTGTCAAGGTCTTTACTATGACCTCTAGTTCTTAGTACTAATCCCAGATTCCAGCCTCACGCCACCTCCCATCACATCCTATTCAGTAGCAGAAAGCCATTTAGGTCAATAATACCACATTTCAGAAAAATGGCTGAGAGCTGCACTGGTCAAGAAGCAGTCCTCATGGCTATAACACATTATGTGTAGTCACGAGAAACCAGCATTCAGAAACAACAGTCTGTTATTTAAGATATCAACAGAGTGACCAATGCACAACATAGGCACTGAGGCGATAATGGCGAATCACCAAGGTGAATATGCTTTGGCAAGTCTGCTCATACAGGAAAACTTGCCTCAAGACTGTTCTTAGCACCAGCCTGTGATCCAGGACTGTTTCTCTATGCTCTGAGTATATTTATGATGTCATACATGGCTGCTCATCCAATCTCAGGATGTACCAGGATATTTCAGAAATCCTGGGAATTCCTAAAACCAAATGTCTGTAAACATCACCAGGACAGAGTTGGAATTTTTAAAAAAGGCAACCTCAAGGCTCAGTGAATGAATCTGTGTAAAGGTTAGATGAAAGGTCTTATCTAATGAGATTTTTCTACCAAATCCTGCCTAGCTTTGATATCCCATTACAATTACAGAAGACTCAGGAATGCTAAACTCTAGGCACAATATTTCTAAAGTGAGTATAAAATAATATTGGGGAAGGCAAATGCAAAAGATTCCTGGGAAGCATAAGCAAATCTAAGCAGTATTTGCTTTCTAAAAACATTTTTTCAGTAACATGGCAACTCCTCAAACAACCTGAAAACTAGTTGTGTAAGTCAAAATCCTACAAAAGTTCTGACTGAGATAGCATGAGATTTCCCAGTGAACACATGATAGCATTACTACTTTCACAATTCTCTTGGAAAGATACATTGTATCAGTATCCAAACAAAACAGCTGTTAGTCGATCTATCAGCTTTTCTGAGAGTTGGCTAATTAATAAAATGGATTTATTAATTTAAGCTATATTGAATATGAAAGTAAAAAGAAAAAGGAACTCTTCTTTCTGAGAAAACATAAATATTACAAAGAGTTACCCCAACATACATATTTGGGTTTGCCGATTTTCAGTCAAGATCACCCCCACTAGCTTTTGGGGGTGTAAAATTTACAGCAAGAAGAAAGGGAAAGGATGGGAGGTGACAACAGCGGAGTAGCTGACCTGTTACAGCGTAAACAGGGTAACCTGTTTACAAATTTTCCTTTGGAATCAAATCCATCTAGCTAGATAAGAATCTATACTGGCAGTGCTTTGCCCGGCCTTAGTCAATTAACAGATAGTCAATAGCCAATTAAGAGATAGCTGCCCAAGTTCACCTGCAAAAGAACTGAAGTCTGTGACTCTGCTCAAGGCAGAGTTCATAGGGTCAGAGTCCAGGTAAGTAGGCTTAAAAAAAACAAGAAAACAAACCAAAACCAGCCACTCATGTCCTCGTTTCCCAGATGTTCCAGTCCAATAACATCTAACTATGTCATTGAAACGAAAGCCAAGTAATCCGTGTTTGTAATAAGAATTTAAACCGCTTAAAGCAAAAAGAGGGCAGGTAGAGGTGAGGGGAAATAATGAAAAACACATTTAGAAATATAGAATTTATTTATATTCCCATAAAACAGTTTCACATTCTATACATGGTTACCAGAAGAGATATAACACTCTCAGAGTTTAAGATGGCATTATATTGCTATCAAACATTGTTTATGCTATGTGAGTCGGGAAACACCCATTTTCCCCTTTAAAAAATTTAAGGCTCAGTTTCCAAAAGGTGATTTTTACCACTTATTTTTCTGTTTAAGAAACGGGGAAAGTTCTAAAAGAAACTACAAAGCAGTGGAGGGTAAGGGGCAGCGCCATACACTTCACTCATTCATACTTCCGATAAATATAATCAATGTGATTTTTGTGTTGTTGTAAAAGGCTCCTCCTATTTGAAATGGGTTTGGTTACAGTAGATGGGAGAGGCACTAGGTACAGATCTTTAGCACACAAACAAGGAAAACTAAAAACCGTATCACCAGTTGCTGGCTAAATGTATTTATTCGCAACTTGCCTACATATAAATAAATGCACTCACACAGGAACTTGGACTCACTTCTTTGGTAAAGCTCACCAAATGGTATTTCTCTCCTAACACGCTAGTAAAAAACATTAACATTTCCTTTCAGCTTTCAGATCAGATGGCCACAGAGTTATCCCTTCTCCTAAATACTGTCCTCCATTTTTCTTTTCAACAAAGCAGGAGAACATAACCACCCATGATGATAACAGAGGTGTAATCCCACTGTTTAAGTGACTGCAGGGAGTGGGAGGGAAGGGCATGAGAAAGCTAATCATGAAAAAAAAAGTTTGGGGTATTTTTTGAGAATTACCATATCAACGAGTTCCAAACACAAAGAGTTCCAAAGTGGTTTAGAAGCATTTTCTCTTACACAAATATATCAATCAACATTCAATCAACAGTGACAATCTTTTACAAAAGGCAGAATCTGTTTAAACTCAGTCAACTACCTTACAATTCAGGAGGCTAATGCTATCACAACAACAATAGGGTATCCATGGGTTCTGCCTCTGGCATAAAGAGGTAGAAACCATCATCCTGTAGAAAAGATTAACAATAAAAAACAAACAATAAAACAAAACAACAGCCCCCCTCAAAAAAAAAACTACACACACACACACACACACACACACACACACACACTCCATTTCTAAGGGAAACCAAGTTGTATGTCCAGGGTGACAATCAGTCTGATTCCGAGCTGAGAGATCCATTGCCCACAATCATCTTGCTGTAGTTCTTCTGCTGCTCTTCCTTAAAAGTGTCCTTTACCTTTGCTCTCTTCAGCCCGCCATCCCTGGGAATAGAAAAGCAAATAAATAAAAGATGCTTCCAGCAATGATTTAAAAGGGCTACCTATGAATACATGCTGCATGGTGCCATGACACTTAAGCAGCTGGTCAGCAATGGGGCAAAGAACACTGGAATTCGGAAGCAGAATGACCCAGATGCCAGTCTCTGTTCTACCACTTCCCAGAGGTGTGTGTTACTTTGAAGAAGGAAACATCGCTTTGAGGCTTGGTTAAAATAAAGAATAATATTTCCACTCTGTTTCTTTTTAGAAGTTAGAGCTTCTATTGGGGGTGCCAAAAAATGTATACAAGTGGGCACTTTGGTCAACATTGCTCAAGTAGTAGCTCACCATAATCAGAGGTGTCTGGACACTGATGGTGACCACTTTGAGCACCTCTTGTAATTGCAGAAGTCAAACGTGACATGTATTCATCTTTTGTTATCAGTATATATTGAATATTACAATTTTAATAGTTTTTTCCTTTCTTAAAATATGTATACATTTTTTTTTTGAAGATTTTATTGGGGAATCGGGGGAAGGGGAACAGACAAGTTGCTGTCCTTTTGTTCTTCAGTCTAGCTGTGGAGGACGTTGCTTCACTGGCCTACGTTGGCACCATCATTGCGCTCTTCCTGGGCGAGGCAGATCAGTCACCGGCCTCTGGACAGCCGCTCACTGCGGCTGCTGGCCGCTCACGACGGCTGCTAGCCGCTCACGCTGGCTGCCGGCTACACATGGTAGCCCATGGCAACCCACTGCAGCAGGGGCTGCAGCCTATGCTGTCGCTGGCGACCCACGGCAGCCCAGCTTCAGGTTGAGCTGTTGTTCAGCATCTTAGCTGCAGAGGGCAGTGTCACTGGCCCTCCTATGTGGGATCCAAACCAGGGCCCTCTGGCATCCCAAGCCCGTTCTTAACCAACGCACCACTCGGCCGGCCTAAAATGTGTATACATTTTTTTGGCACCCTCGCTATATTCAATATGTAGACTCTATATTAAAACTAGGATTGTCTCCCTATCTTTTTCCCCAAGGAAAACAATAATTGGGGTTTTTTTCCATCAATCTGACCTATGTCTTACCAGAAAACCATACAGACAATTTAAAATATACACACAAGAAATGGTGAAGGCACTGTATATGTGTGGGTAAATTCCTTAAAGATAAATGGATTAATCATTATTCAAATCTAATCCAATGTATAACAAGTTGCATTTTCATCCACAGCACTATATTTCAAGTACTTATAACTTTCTGTATTCCAAAACTGACTCAGAATAAAACAAACAACAAAATAATAATCAGTTGCATTCAATCAGCAACTAGTGCCTATGTAAGCAGTGTTCCTTAATTCAGAGTTCGTGAATCTTTAAACTCTCTCCAGGGTGGTACAGAGACCTGCCTGAGTTATAAGGACTCTGTGTGTGCCTCTGCTTTGGAGAACTCAAAGAAACAACCAACTGGTAGAGCTGGGAGGAGACTGGACTATTAGGGGTCCCTCTGTCTCCTAATCAAATATTTTCAATTTTAACTCGCAGGAGAGCATGGACTGAGAACTTGCTTACTTTATACTATACCTGTTTAATTTTAACCCAGTTAAGCATGAATGTTTACCAAGTACCCTCTGATGATGATGAATAAATCACAGGTTAGCCAGTGAACTCAATGCCATGAAAACAGAACTTGACCTACAAACAGACACCTGTCAGAGCCCACTGCAATGTTCTGGCCTCTAGAGTCAAATCTAAGATACAGTCCACCAGCTAGTCCTCAACTTAAAAACAAATAGTGGACCACAAATTTTCCAGAAGGTCAGTTATAGAAAATTTCCATGAAACAAGATTATAAAGTGTCATCAGCTCCCCATAAGTGTCCACAAAAGCTCCTTTTATCCAAATAGTTAGCCTCTAACTATTAATAGCATTTAAGTGAATTCTGAATAGTAAGAACTAAGGTAGGGAAGGAGAGACTGAAGAAAGGCTATTCTTCCTTTCCTGAAGTCCAGGCCAAAACTGGAAAGAAAATGAAGTTAGCAACATTTGCCCTCAAATATTCTGATGTGATTTTTATATGCAATTGTCCTTCTCAAGCATCCAGTAAACCTCACACTGCTCTCAGCACCCCAACTGTGACTTGCCACCCCTAAAGACTTCAAAATTGCACCTATTTCCCCTTTGCAATTGCAGATCTTAGTTCTTAAGGCAGGGAGCAGCCATATTTATAAGCCAGTTTAAGATGATACAATTAAGTTCTTATTTAATCTAGGAGGAAACTGATCCAGACATGTTAATTCAGACTCAGTGGGTGAATGACAAATACATCTGGAAAGGAAATAAGTATATTTTCTTTTTAAAGAGGCCAGGTAACTAAAAGTAACCTTTTATTATAAGAATGCATGTAGTCTGATAAAAACAAATTGAAAAATTCTGAGGATCATTTCTGAAAGATTCCATTTAAGCCAATCTGATTAGGAGTCTGTCCTGTAGCTGACTCCTCTTGGCTGTTTTCATCACTCAAGGCTTTCTTCCTTTCCTTAGTGTCTGAGGCTACTGAGCCAAAGCTCCAAGCTTTTCATAATGGCTTCAAGGCAGGAGCAGGGCTGGGTTACCAGGTAAGAGGAAAGGAATAAGAAATAGAAAACAATGAACAAGAAAGAAGAAGCCAGTTATACAAAGACTATGGACCACTAGGGCATTTGTAAACTAAAGTTTTGGGCAGCCTGTCATTTCATGATGTTATGATGTTTGTAATTTAGTTTCACATATTCCGACTTAGCTAGTGTAATACAAATGTTAGCCTTAACCTATCTTAACCCTAGTCTTGACCTTAGGGTCAGTCAGTTGCCCTAAATCAAGAACTCGTACTCAGGGGTGGTCAGCCAGGCAATTAATCAGAAGGCCACCATCAGACTTCAGCTATTTTTATCTCCCATCAACCTCCCAAGCTTTGTTAATTAGCATAATAAATTTTAGAAATGCATTTTCACTGTAGAAATTAGTGGCTTATTAATCAGCATAATGGATGCCAGAAACAGGCTTTCCTGGGTGAAATTATTTGTATTCAAGATATGCAAATGAATAAAATATTTTAGAGACATTCCCCACCCTTGCATAAAAGAGGATAAGAATCCAGGTAGCCCTACTTCCAGAGGCTTACCCCTTAAACCAGCGGTTCTCAACCTGTGGGTCGCAACCCCTTTGGGGGTCGAACGACCCTTTCACAGGGGTCGCCTAAGACCATCGGAAAACAAAAAGATATTTACATTACAATTCATAACAGTAGCAAAATTACAGTTATAGAGTAGCAATGAAAATACTTTTATGGTTGGGGGGTCACCACAACATGAGGAACTGTATTAAGGGATCATGGCATTAGGAAGGTTGAGAACTGCTGCCCTAAATAGTCCTGGGTTCCTCTGCAGGTTCAGAAATTCCCAGTTGCCCGGCTGGCAGCCTCACTCAGCCAAATCCTGCTCTAGAACATTGCTACAATTGCTTCCGATAAACTTCTCATATAAAATGTTTTCAAAATATCAAAAAAGATAGTAGGGACTTTACTAAATTTATAGGACTCGAAATATAGACTGTTTTGTACCAGCTTGCTAGTTATAATGTCTGAGTATGTCAGAATTTAATCTCCCATTATAATGTAGGTATAGCTAACTCGCTTTGATGCAGACTAAATGTTTGTTGCCCCCCACAAAATTCATGTATTGAAGCCCTAACTCCCAATATGATGGTATTTGGAGGTGAGACCTTTGGCCAGTAATCAGGTTAAGATAAGATTATGGTGGCCCTCATGATTGCATTACTGTTCCCATAAGAAGAGGCATCAGAGAAGTAGCAGTGGTACATCCAGCTTTCCATCTACGCTCTTAAAGACATAGAGATGCGTCTTGTTTTAATTCCTCCCTGCTAGCCATTTGCTGAACATACTGGGTAGAGCTGGAGCAGCCATCTCGGAACATGACGTAGAAGCACATCCAGGATGGTAGAACAACCCAGAATGAGCTATTATGCCAACCTGGACTGCCTATGTTTAAATGACAAGGATAAACATCTATCTTATTTAAGCCATTGTTATGTTGTATAAACCCTATCACTGTCAGCTAACCCTCCAGCTAACTAGCATAATAAGTCACATTACTAAAAGTTTTTTTTAATTAAAAAAAATTGATAGTACTTCTGAAAAATTCCTTACCAGGGAAGCTCAGTCAATCCGCCTTGTCTAGCAATAGCGGACTTAACCCTATTAGCAAATTGGACCGCATCTTCTCCTTCCTGGAAAAAAATTACAAGTACATCTTAGAGATACAGTCTTCAAATAATGCCTTAGAATGTCTCATAATCATTTAGATATGTTTTAAAATACAAAATTTACATTTTAGCTCAAATAAAAGGTGTGATCAAAAACTACAGTGAATGTTCAAATTTTAAAAATGTATTACAGTAAAAGACACATTGCCATTAATTACCCTCAAAATACTCCCCTTTGCTTCAAACACACTTATCCCATCATTTTCGCCACTTTCTGAAGCCGTTCTGAAGTCCTCTTTCATGAGTGGCTTTAGTTGCTCTGTCGTGGCTGCCTCAATATCCTGAATCAATTCAAAACCTTTACTTTTCATGGTCACTTTGACTTTGGGGAAGAGCCAGAAGTCGCATGGTGCCTGATTCCATGAATAAGGTGGATGAGGACCTGCTGTAATGTTTTTATTTGACAGAAATTGCCATACCAGAAGTGATGTGTGACACAGATCAAAAACTATGGTGAATGCTGTTGCTGAGTGCTATGCAACGGAAAGGCAGGGATCTTCAAAACGGGAAGTGGCGCATCAAACTTTAGTAACAGTGCGTGACAAGTTTCAACTTGTTCGGTGCAGTCAGTCAGGTGTGATCAACAGTTGAGAGAAGGTGTGTTTTAAAGTGTGCAGTAAACCATCCTCCATCATGACAATGTTCTGTGTCACACGTCGCTTCTGGTATATGGCAATTTCTGTAAAATAAAATATTACAGTGTGTCCTCATCCACCTTATTTACCAGATTGGGCACCATGCAACTTCTGGCTCTTCCCCAAAGTCAAAATGATTCAGGACATTAAGGTAGCCACAACAGCGCAACTAAAGACATTCATGAAAGAGGACTTCCAAAACTGCTTCAGAAAGTGGCAAAAATGATGGGATAAGTGTGTTTGAAATGGGAAGGAGTATTTTGAGGGGGATTAATGGCAATGTGTCTTTTACTGTAATAAATTTTTTAATTTAAATATTCACCATATTGTCTGATCACAAATCGTATGTTCTATTCTCAATCATAGCAAATATAGTTTTATCAATAAAATGTACTGCTGTATTAATTTTTTTACATGTGTATAATAAGTATATTATTATACTCTTTCTATAGTCTTAGCCAAGATACAACATTCCATAGTATCTACGGGTTCAATAAACCAACAGCAATCGTAAACACTATTATGGAAAAGAGCCTCCAAATATAAATTGGCCTGATTGGAAGAGAAGTACATTTTTAAAAATTGACTCATTTGCTGAGAAAGCAGAATGGAAGCCCAGCTCTAGCTGATGTGAGGAAGAGAGACACCCAGGTTTTCAGGTAAAGGTTTTCTCACCTTCATCTGATTAGATATAACACCATTACATTAGATATAAAGACAGCTGTTATCTATGGCATACCTCTCTGGTCATGGGAGGCATGTACCATACGTCACAGACAATGGCCCAGCTGGTCATCATTCGAAGCAGGTAGCTCACCATGTTGTATTTACTACTGTTCCAAAATGCATCACCAAACTGAGGGTTATACTTTGGAAAAAGAAAAGAAAGTACATCTCAGTTACGAATTAAGTGGTGTTTTTATCTAAGTCAATGTTCTCAAGGTGGCAGTCCAAACATCTCTATGAGACCCCCCCAAAAAAGAGAAGCTTCTTGGCTTGAATGATCAAAACAGTAAACTGGCCCAGCATCCTTCTCTGATGAGAGCTCCAGAGCATTGCAACAAGAGGGTGATTTACATGACTCTTAAATGTCTGCCTCCCTACTTAACTGGAAGGTGAGTGAAAATGGGAACAGAATCTGTTTTGCCAATCACTGTGTCATCAATACTCAGGCATTGGCCTGGCACATAGTCCCCTAGTACATATCTATATATATCTATATATCTAGATCTATATATCTCTCTCTATATATATATATAGATAGATAGATAGATAGATAGATAGATATAGAGATATATAGATCTAGATAGATATAGATATATATATATCTCAATGGAGAGAGAATAATCAAGCAAACTGGGCAAAATGTAAACAATTGGGGAATCAGAGTAAAGAGTATACAAGTGCTCCTTATTCTTGCAAAATTTTAATTTGAAAGTATATCGAAATAAAGTTACCAAATAAAAGTCCTTTTTATATTGGGGACAGGTGGGATCTCTTTTACCTTAATTGCAACTGGATGTATGGTTCCTCCAATTTCAAAGCTTCCTTTTTTAAACATCATGACTGATGTATTATTGATGCAAGTTCCTACAGGGAAATGAGAATGGGGTGGTGAATATTTTTTAAAAGAGTCATTTTTTTAAAACAAATTTTTCAAGGGATTATTTTGAAATAAAATAATTTAAATTATTCAAATCATATCAAAATTACAGACATTTTATTACCATTTCACAAATCAATTCTTGCTTAGGTAGTAATTCGACAGTTCTAAACAGGTTTAGTAACAAACTTTTACTTTACTATTGAATACTATCAAGATACAATTTCTTCACAATAGTGACAATTTCAACAAACTTAAAATAAGGACCTTGAAAAGGTGATGGACAATACCTTTTGAAGTTCATTACCCAGAAATAAATTTTAAGACCAAATCTCAAAAGAAGCAAGGAATTACTAGCTCAGAAAAGGCCATCATATTCCTATAGGACAGCAGAGATCTGGACTGAAAGTGCCAATTCTAGAACAATCCAATTCCTCATATACTTTTGGTACTTACTGTTATCAACTATAGCTTGGTAGGCAGTCCCCCGCTTACCTTCAGGAAAGATTAATATGGGTAATTTTTTCTTATCAGCAATGTGTTCTCTCAGTCTGTAAAGAAAAATAAAGGATCAAAATGCTACCTCTAAAAAGAGAGAGAGATAGGAATCCTCTTTGGTATTCTTTTCACTCTACTAGCACAAATGTAATGGTAAGGCAATAAAGAGAAAAGCAATATGATATAAGTAAAGGAAATAAACTCAAGGTGGTTCCTTTCTAAAAAAGTGTAAGGCTCTCTGCACTATTTCAATTTTTCTCATCTCAAAGTGAGTGATTTTCACAGCCTCGTGACTACCCTTTAAAAGAATGCTAAGCAGTCATGTGAGCTCTGGAGCCCCCATGTCATGAGGTCTGTGCTCTTACCCCTGTACTTACATTTTTCTCATTTGAAAAATGGGGATATTGATTGCTGGGCCTGTCTGCCTTACAGCCATTAAGTACAGAAGACTTCTTAAATGGGTCAGGCTGAACTTTCCTATAAAATAGGCACCATAAAGCTGAGAATAACCAAAGTTCTTTCAGGCTTACCGTATTTGCCGGCGTATAAGACGACTGGGCGTATAAGACGACCCCCTAACATTTCCACTCAAAATACAGAGTTTGTTATATACTCGCCGTATAA